TTCAGGTTGTAAGTTTTCCAAAGTAGAACAAAGTTTCAAATTCTTTGCTATTTCTTTTTTATTTTCACCCGAGGACCCATTGATACACATTTTCTCAAGGGAAAAGAAATCTATTCAATAGAATTATTATACTAGATCCTATGTTTATTTCAAATAATTTATTTTGTTGTTGTTTTTTTCTCCAAATCCATTTACTAGTCTCTCCTTAGACTATGCCTTTCTCATGCAAACATCCTGCAGAGGAAGAAAACGCCACTTAAATTCTACGTTGTCAGTATGTTCTGGGTAACAGCCCAATCTTGAATTCCTAAGAGATACATAATCTTTGAACTTGAGTTTCAGGAGTTAAGAATAAAGCCCTAATTAATGCAAAACATACAGGTTCGGGAAATAATCTAGTTCTCAAAGATGGTACTAACTTTAAGCACTTGGTTGTTATTGATAAAAGCAATGAGAAGACACTCTGGGCTTTGTTCCACTAGGTTGGTGACTACTGGGGAGAGAGTGAGTGTCCTGCAGCCAAAGGACAATGGAGTGAGGGTCCTAAGGACTCATTAAAGGGAGGAGCACATGCTCAGGGTAACAGGTGCCCGGGACAAGCTGCGTCCTCCAGCAGGTTGGAATCTCCTGCCATCCAGGCAGGTAAGGTCACTAAGGGAGCAGAACCACTTCTCCCACAGATGGGACATGGGTCTTTACAGTCAGCACTTCTGGGATCCTCTGGGAATCTTGTTAAAATGCAGATCTGCAGGGCACCTGGGTGGCTCAGTGGGTTAAGCCTCTGCCTTCAGCTCAGGTCATGATCTCAGGGTCCTGGGATCGAGCCCCGCATCGGGCTCTCTGCTCAGCGGGGAGTCTGCTTACCCCCCTCTCTCTGCCTGCCTCTCTGCCTACTTGTGATCTCTGTCAAATAAATAAATAAAATCTTTTTAAAAATGCAGATCTGGAATCCAGGGGGCCAGGATGGGGGCTGAAACTCCATTATCTCTGTCAGGATCCCAGGTGATGCTGATGGACGGTGGGCCTCCTGTTGAGCTGTAAGTCCCGTGGTCGTCCAGGTCCTCTCTCTTGCAGAGAAGGGGAGGACAGGAGTAGAAAGACACAATGTACAGGCAGAGGAAAGCAGACAAATATAAAGGAAAGCAGAGGATCATAAAGAGAGATGAAGACGAGGAGATTTGAAAATATGGCCCTCCCAGCATCCCTCCCTTCGTAGTCCACAGCAGCCCATTAAGGTGGCTGAAAGGTCCTTACATGGCTCTGCCCACAGCCCAGGACCCTCGGTGCCTAATGTGGGGCAGGTGGGACCACCCGGTGGCAAGGACTCTTCCAATAACCACAGATGGGAGTTCTCAGATGGCCCCTCTGCCAGAGTCAGACAAGTCCAAGTGTTTCCCCAGGCTTCCAAACCCATCCATCTGCACCAGGAAAAACATGCCAGTAGCTGACCCAGGGAAGAGAGGGGGCAGGCCTCCCTCTTGGGTACAGCTGAGCTTGAGACCACTGGAATCTTCCTCTTCACAGTGATTGGACTCCTAAATCACCTAGACTGATTCAAATCTCAAGGCTGGCACAGTCCCAAGACCCTAATAATGCGAGCGGCTCACTGTGCTTAATGTCTGTGTGAACAGCTCATTTACACTCAGTACCCATCGTCCTGGTGGGGTCCTGCAAGGAGGGAGCCTGTGTGACCAACCTCCGATAAATGCCCAGGCTGCTGAGTCTCTAATGAGCTTCCGTGGTTGACCACACTTGGCGAGGACAGTTCTCACTTGTTCTGGAGGGAACTCAGCACGTTCTGTACGTCGCCGCTTGGAGAGGACCCCTGGAGGGTCATGCCTGGTTTCCTGCGGACTTCATCCCATCGACCTTTTTCCTTTACTCCTTCTGCTTTGTACCCTGGATACATCATAGTTTTATGACTACGCATCAGTCCCGCAAATCCCCCCAGTGAATCACAGGACCTGAGGAGGATCCCAGGGATCTCCAGACACCCAGGAGGGGAAAAAATGCAGCTCGGCCAACAGCTTACCCAGAGGACCCAGCCAGGTGCACCAGGCTTCAGACCTATAGAAACCGTGACCTAACAGCTCTGACTCGTATTAGGCCACAGAGTGCCTGGTCGCTTTTTACAGGAGTAGCACAAAACCCGGAAAATGACAGTATCTCTTCCACTAAAAAAGAGGGTAAATATCTCAAGGAAAGTTTTTAGAATCTTAATTCACTCTCAAATTAATGGCAGCGAAGCACAGATTAAAAACCAGCACCTGGAGGCGCCTGGGTGGCTCAGTGGGTTAAGCCTCTGCCTTCAGCTCAGGTCCTGATCTGGGATCGAGCCCCGCGTCGGGCTTTCTGCTCAGCAGGGAGCCTGCTTCTCTCTCTCTGCCTCCCTCTCTGCCTACTTGTGATCTCTGTCAAATAAATAAATAAAATCTTTAAAAAAAAAAAACAAAAACCAGCACCTGAAGAGTGGGAAGGGCCTCTGGGAAGGTATGTGCTTTAGGGTGAAGAGCAGGTCCTCTGTGTGAGAGGGGCCAGAGAGCAGCCAAATCTGCCCGATCGTCTTCAAGAGACTGTGGGTAGAATCTTAATTATCAGCTCGTGGGACTTACTGTGGCCAGAGCCGGCCGTGTATGCAGCCTGGGGTGGAGACAGCACCACGTGTGCTGCGGGGATGGCTGAAGGACGTGCACGGAGGATCACCTTTCCTAGAGGACACCAAAATGCAGAAGGAATTCCTGCCCTGGAGAAGCTTCAAGAAGCCCTGAGCTGAGATGAGGGCCTCAAAGGGGGCAGAGCAGGGAGCTCAGAAGAAGCGTCCTACCTCAAGGGAAGGTAGATTCCACACCTGCACTCATCCAGCAAACATTTACCAAGGCGGGTCTCTGTGAGCGAGCTCCCCGGGTGTGGGAGGGAGGCCACCACACCAGTCGTGACCATGCGACGGCCAGTGGGACCGAGGAGTCCAAGCATCCGTCCTCAGCTGTGTGGTCTAGGGTCAGGAACACCACTATCCTTGGCCCTTACTCCCCTGGGCTCCTTGAAACAAGGTGCCACATGGTGATGCTTGGATTTTGGTCCCTGCAAAACCACTTAACTAAAAAACAGGAATGGTCACAATGTCGCATCCATGTATCGGGGTGGGATGGGGGTGAAAATATGAACCTTGGTTAATACAACCAAGAATAAGCACACATTAGTGATCCATTACCTGATTTTGAAAAACAAGATTTAATTTGGAACAAAAGCTCTCTGTATAGGTAAATGCTTCCTTAACTTTTAACTGTTATTCATTCTTAGTTAATGTTGGTCTTAACCCTGGTTTGGACCTGGCGTTCCTAGAATTAGCTCAATGTCGAGAAGCACTTCCAATCACACACTTGGCAACTGCCTGTTTGGGGTATTAAAATCAGCCAGTCCCTAAACACTAATTCTCGCCCATTTTGTTCTTTTACCCAGTGTTAGACAACCGACTAGTTCTTCCTAATTCAATTTAAATCAACATCTATCAATGAACTAGAAAGCGGTCCAGAGATAAAAAATTAAATAGGCCATGATCTATGAAGTTATACTAAGTAACAGAGCTCTGAGGGAGTTCAAGTGAGGCCAGTTCATTACCCAACGAGTATTATCATTTTGTTGCTTGTTAGCATTATAGATAAGGTAACAAGCTACCAGCTTTTTCGCTGATACTTGCCCTCTTACCATGACAAGACAATGTTTTAAAACTTACCTAAATATCCTTACCTAAATTAAATGGAACCTAAACTGTATATTTTTTATTGTGGGTAAATTGTCCTAATATAAAATTCACCACTTTGGCCACTTGTAAGCGTGCCGTTGTGTACCACTGACAATCACACGCTGGGCAACCGTCACCGTCATGCACCCCCAGAACTTTCTCATCTTCTAAACTGAAGCTGTCCCCATTAAACAGTAATTCTCCATTCCTCCCCTCCCCTAGCCCCTGGAAACTATCTAAAGTGTATTTTTTTAAAAATTTATTTATTCATGAGACAGGGTGCTTGGGAACAGGGAAGAGGGGAGAGCAGAAGGAGAGGGAGAGAGAGAATCTCAAGCAGACCGCCCACTGAGCGCGGAGCCAACAGAGAGCTCCATCCCAGGACCCTGAGATCACAACCTGAGCCGAAATCAACAGTAGAAAGCTCAACCAACTGAGCCTCCCTGGCGCCCCAAGTGTATTTTAATAATAAGAAAGTAATTCCTTCTCCACCTGAGAAATCTTCTTGAGGCCACAGCCCTGCCCCTGTTGCCCCGACAGCCAACAGCAACGCAGCAGACGCTTGCCCCACTCTATCCTCAGAGCTCCTCCCTTAGGGCACCCTATGATCTGAAGACTCAAAACTCTGAATATCTGATAAAGTTCATATATTTTAATATTCAGAAAGTCAGGCGAGCGAAATTTAATTCTTCTCAAAGAAGCGCGGGTATGGAATCAGAAGCAGAAAGCACGTCCCTGGTGTAAGAGAGCTTAAGTCGTTGTGACGCCAAAGAGTCCCTGATATCTACCCCCATGAAGGACAAGGGACCACACAAGTGCCCAGGCTCCTGCTGGAGCCAGACGTGTGTCCCTCAACATGCCGTCGTCCAAACGGAGACTGCCCGTGACGTGTGTGTCAGTCTGGAGACTTTCAGAAATCTCACTTAACCGGAGGACTCGGAAGAATGGGTTTACTCGGCTGAACAACTGACACCAGCTCCCGGGCTCTGGGAGGGAAACTACACTGGCTGCACGCGACCTCACCCCTCCGATCGCACACTACGTCCAGGCACAGCGGGGAGACGTCAGTGTTTCACTGCAGCACAGCGCTGTTGGACTTAGCGCATAGATCACACAGGGCCACGCGCATCTTACATTCACTTGAAAGCGCGCTCAGCCACTCTGGGGGGCTCCGTGTCTGTGCTCAGTCGACAGACCCGCAGCAACAGGCAGTGACCGGTACAACTCACACCGAGACGGCTCTCAGGAAGGGACATACCGAGACGCTTTCTTCTCGCCGGTACTGCTTCCAGTTCCTCCCGCCGTCACTGAACATGAGGACGTAGCTGGTCACCCAGTCGGAGCTCCCGTACCCTCCCTGCGTGGCCACAGCTGTGACCTCCATTCTCTCTCCAAGGTCGACCTGCAGCCACTGGTGTTTATTTGACACAAGTGGAGACCAGCCACCGGCCCCTTGAGGGAAACAGAAGCGGGAGAAGATAGTAAAGGGAGAGGAATCGTTAAGACCTGCATTATCCTGTGAAGAAAGAGATCATAAATAAAACTTCCAAAAATCAGAGTTCCAAATTCTGGAACGTATAACCCCCCATGATCGCACACACAGACACACACGCACTCAGAACCACAGGTGAAGTAAACAGATGAATCCTACATTCCTCATGAATTGCTCCAGTTTCTCGGCCATAACCCTGACTCTCGGGTGTCCAGCGGTCCCAGGCGACACGTGGCCGACCAAACACCAGGTCACCGCATCCGTGTTTGAGACTAGTGTCTCCACCGGCCTGTATGTATGACATGCCTTTGGATGGACCTGAAGGAAAATATGCAGACCGTGGTAGAACTAGAAAAGCTGAGTTCTGGAATCCCAGCATGAGGAAGTAACGTACTGAATGATGGACAGGAAAGGTGGTGATGGCAAGCCCGACACTTGATATGCTCACAGGTTCATGCGAGAAACAGGCATTTTGAAGAACCTTCTGAAACACAGAGCAGCAGGGATGGACATGAAGGTTGTCCTGCGCAGGGAGGGAGAGCCTGAGGGGCAGCGGGGAGCTTGAGGGAGAACACAGAGCGAGCGAGTAACAAGGACATTCTAGGTTTTCGAGACAACAGGTGCAGAGCAGAAATCACAAGGCTTTGTCTTGTCCAGTGAGAAACAGATGAGACACAGACTCAGAGGAGGCTCCCAGAGGCTGTGTTGGGACATATTTTGTTCTTCCAGGTCCCAAAAATGTGGGTTTTGAATGTGGACTTGGATGTCACATTGAAGTTTCTGGTTTTAAATTAGTAAGCAATTAAAAAACTGGAAAATAAGTTTGAAGCACCTTCTGGAAATGATATTTTGCCAATTATCCGTGTCCAGAAAACACGAGTCATGGAAGTCGTCTGTAATATGATAAGAGGGGTTTTGGAAAACAGTTTTCCCCACTGTCTGACACCTCGCTTGAGGTTCTCATAACGAGGCCTAATGCATTAGACCGCATTGACCGTCTTCCTGTGAGTGGCTCTTACTGACCCCTGCACTGGGTTTGCTAAGGCCTGTAGGGCTGGGTGTATGTCAGGAAGTGTGTGACATGGTCCCAGGACGGCTGGGAGGGAAACGGAAGTGGGGCGCTTGCATCAGGATTGGGGGCATCCCCAGGGGGCGGGCACGGACGTCTCTTCACTACATCCTCCCTTCACCATGTCCCCTTTTCACGACGTCCTCCCTTCACCACGTCCTCCCTTCACCACGTCCCCCCTTCACCACGTCCTCCCTTCACCACACAACGTGTTCAAGCATGGCATTCAGGAGAACCCAGGCTCTTTCTCATTTCTTTCTACCCAGATTTCCCAGACTGAATCTTGGTTCAAGTTTTCCAAATTTTCCTCTCAATGTACCACAAGCACAATGCCTTTTTCTTTGACCCAGAATCCAAAATGTGTTGCATTTTGGGTTGTTCTGTAATGCATCTTTAACTTTTTATTCTGAAATAACTTCCAATTGCCCAAAGAGCTACAAACGTGGTAGAGGGGATTCTTGTCTCCTTTGTACCAGTTTCCCCCAAAGTTACCATCTTACATCGTCATGGGGCTTTTATCAGGATGAAGGTATTTACATGGTACAGTATTAATGCAAAGACAAACGTTATTTGGATTCCCCAGTGTCCCCACTGACCCCAGTCCTCTGCACCACGAGGCTGTTTACACACCGAGTCTCCTCTGTGTCCTCAGCCCATGCCAGTTCCGCCGCCTTTCCTTGCCTCTCGTGACAAGATTGGTTCTGCTGCTTTGTCCGAGGGCCCTGCTCACGGCTGATGACTGGAAGTCCTTCCGTATTCTAGCTGAGAGCCTCTCACAGTCCGAGGGACATTCCTTGGCAGGCGGGCGTGATTTTTATAATTGTCGCAAAAATAACCTTTAAAATTAGGTGTTGGCATTCAGCGGATCATTTTAACGTGGAGATTCCACATTTGAAATTTCCTACGGATCCGCTTAGCTCTCTGAGGGACTACTGTATCCAGGCTCATCCTAGTTCGCAGCAGAGTCCTGTAGAAGGTCCTGATGATACCCTTGCTGGCATTTTGCCATGTTTCCCTGTGAATTTTAACCTCTCTCAAGGCCAGGAAGTATCACCAGCATGGCGTCACCCGTGCGGGGAGGCAAATGCAGTAAACAGATCAGGATGCTGCTGGCATGTTGCCCTGGGACCAGCCTCTCCCACAGGTGCCGCTGCCTACCTGCCAACCAGCCTCCCCCACCTGCAGGTAACAGACCCCGAACATCTCCTCCTGACCTGCGGTGAGAACGTGCTTCTGGCAAGCATGCCAAGCCATCTGATGAACTTGGGGCGGTGACAGGCATGGAGCGGCAGAATCCCCTAGGCCGGGGGCGGTTCGCTCCAGCAGGCTAACGAGGTCCCCATGCACTCAGATCGCTGCTGGGGGGTCATGCACGGGGGAGTGTGCACCCCCCGCCCCCGGCACCTGCCTCTCTCCCACCTCCGCCCCTTCCTGAATACCGTGTCACAACTTGTACCAAGGAAAACCTATCTGGGGGCCCCGCTTGTGCAGAGCAAACTGCAGGGCCTGGGAGGTCACCCCACCCAGAACATCCTTCTCCCTCCTGGGGACAGTGTGCTCGCTGTGTGTTGCGGCGCTGAGGGGGTGTGGCAGGAGGATGTGTGCAGCACCCAGTGTCGTCCCTCCCACGGGCGGCCGGGCGCTGGGTGACAGTCGCCGTTACAACAGGCCATCCCTGCCGTGGCTTCCAGGTGCATGAAGGGCCACAGCCCCGGCACTGAGCTTTCCGGTGACCTTATCACTGAAGGTCTGTTGCCTGCGCTTCTTCCCAAAGGGAAGACGGTGAAGAAAGACAAACTTGGCATGCATGCAGATGGGCCAAGGACCTCGCCCAGGGCCCCACGCGGGACCCCACATGCCCCACACCCAGGAAGTGGGACCGGCGTGCCAGTCCCTGCTCCACCAATGAGGAAGGCACAGCACTTGAGGTTCCTGTGAGGGTGTTGGATGAAAGCTCGGCCCCTTCCACTCTCGACCCCTTGTACGGACATCTCCCCGCAGTTCCTGGGCTAGTCAAGGTTGTCTGCTGACCGCCAGCCAGACCGTGTTTAAGTCGATCTGTCGGAAGGTTTCTGTCTCTAGTTAATCCTGTGCGACTGCTTCCCCACCCCCTCCCCTCCCCCCCACTCCGCTTTGGTGGCTCCAACAGCGGCAGGGACACTTCCTCGGGGAGAGGAAAGGTTGGCTAGGAAACTCGCAGCGGGGCCTGAATTGCTCTGTCTGAGGATGGTGATGACCGTGACCTCGGCCCCTGGTATTCACAGAACATGTGCTCGTGTGAACCATTGGCTTTACGCAGAGAAGAACATGACCCCGGGGAAGAAGAGCCAAACCTCACGCCTTCTTCAAGCTTCAGCGAGCATGAGAGCAGCAACCTGTAAGAGACTCTTCTCTCCGGGAAAGCAGGGTGGCTGGAGGGAAGGTGGGCAGGGGACGCGGTAGCGGGGTGATGCGCATGAAGGGGGGCACGTGATGTGATGAGCCCTGAGTGTGGTAGCAATGATGAATCACTGAACTCTAGCCTGAAACTAACACTGTGCTACGTGTTAACTAACTTGGATTTGGGGGGAGAAAAGATACCCACGGAGCAGAAGTCAAGCAGGTTAGTTGGAAGTGAACAGACCTACCCATCTTCAGGGCATCTATGCCGAACACATAAGTGGCTCCACTACAATTGTTGCCAAGGGAAGTGTCCCCCCGCGATCAATACTCTGTTGTCTGGGAGGGGATCGCATCCAGTGATGGTGTTCTTTCCTCATTCACTCCGAGTTCCAGGCGGGCCCAGCAGAAGCGGGAAGAGCAGGAGAGAAGGAGGAGCCCATGCTGCCTGCCCTAGGAAGGTGACAGGCATCCCCAGGAAGGTAATGGACATCCCCAGGAAGATGACGGGCGTCCCCAGGAAGATGACAGGTGTCCCCAGAAAGGCAAAAGTCATCCCAGGAAGGTGACAGGCATCCCCAGGAAGGTGACGGGCATCCCCAGGTAAGAGGGGCCAGCGGGCAGACAGGTTTTGGCGACGGTGTCGAGGTCCCCCTGACCTCCCCACTCAGGGGTCCTAGGGCTGGACACGCTGAAGCCTGGGTCAGACGCTGCTGTTACTGAGGGGATTAAGGCGTTTGCTGCAATTCTGGTTCCTCAAGAGGCAGCACCAGCTGTGTCCAGGCAGCCTTCCGGTGATCAGGACGGAGTAGGCCCAGAAACGCTGCCTCGGGGCCCCCAGCTCCCCTGCTTGTGTGCTTCCTGCACTGCGCTAGGAGCCTCAGCCGGGAGAACGGGACATTTCCCACGAAGGGCACCCGGAGGGGAACGGTCACCACAGCTGCCTGTGTGAGCCGGGTTCCTACATGCAAAGACGCCCGAAATGGCTTGGTAAACAGACCCTTCGACAGTCAAATGAAAATACGTGCTCGGTGCACACCCATCACCCTGAGTTTGCTTTAAATGCCAGAGATCTTGAGGAAGAGAAAGCACCCCACAGGCATTCACGTGTGACCTCCCAGGGACTGATTTCCACGCCCTTACGCACCAAGCGTTCTGACTGCACCTCTGTCTGCATAAAACACACAAAATGGGTCAACCCTGCGTGTTTTGTTTTGCTGTCCTCACACAGACTCCTGAACGTGTCATGGAGACCCACTGAGATCTGACCAGAGGCTCTCAGCTCTGACTCGTTGGAAGTTCTGCCGCAGCAAAACATGAGACGGTTCTGCCGATTTCCCACCATGGAAACGGAGCAAGAACTGCCCAGCAAGCCTGTCACGACCCGAACAGGTCGTAAATCCTTCACTTAATACTGAATAAAACGTGTGACTGAGCTCATTCATGTCCTGTGAAATCTCTGTTTACAAGGAGTGGGGCTCTGGGACGTGTCCTAATTCTAGGAGGGCATCCTCTCAGCGGCCCCGACTCACGCAGAACAGACGGGATATCAGATCACCCCCGAGGCCATCAGAACAGGGGCACCTCCCTCTGCTGAGGGCAGACCCCTGGGGAGTCCAGGGCCCCAGAAGGGCAGGAGGCCAGGCCAGCCCACTTCTCCCCACGGGAGCTCAGCTACACACTCTCAAGGCAATGTCTCCTTTTTAAAAAATCCAGTATGGTGGAGGATCGGTCAGGAAATGCAGGGGGGAGCTGCTCAGGAGACAAAACTATGACAACTAAATTAGGCCCCCATTTGTGACTGCTCAGTCGGCCAAATGCCTCTGGGGAAAAGGAAAGAAAATTCCATTGATGCTCAAACTTGCGTTCTCTTGAAGGACGCTGTATAGCTTAATTCCTAACCGTTCGTAAGCACGCCATGAGAGCCTCTGATGAAGAGTCGAGGACCAATTACCTGCTGTAGGAAACAGAGTATCGTAATGAAAGCAAAAATGGGAAGGCCTGAGCGTCACGTGATGTGAGGAGCAGCACGGGGTGGGGGGCATTCAAAGGATGGCACGTGAACATGTCAGAGCAAAGCCCACTCCCCCGATTTCCTCAGAGGGACACAGCAACGGGACAACAGTCAGGCTGCAAGGATGGCAGGAAAGAGAACAGGGGGCCCTGGGATCACCATCCCCCCATCAGCCCCTAGTCCAGGCAGGTCTCCCTTCACATTCACAGCAGCAGAGCAGCTGACAGCGGGGGGGCCCAGAGAGCCCCCAGCAGCCCTTGTCCCTGGCTATGGTCTTCCTGAGTCACAGGTTAAAGGAGCAGTTCAGGACTCCCGTGTCAATTTCAATATGGCGGCTGCGACCCATCAGGGATCCCGGTGCCTCGGGAAGGATTGCTAACTGGACCCCACCACTCTGGCAGACAGGAGGGCCACCTTAGCTGGCGAATCCTGAGCCAGGGGCCCTGGGCAGAAAAAAAAATGAAATTCCTAGAAGGGGCAATTCAGATGAACGTGGATGGATGGAAAACCAAAGTAAAGATAAAGTGTTTATGCTTTTTCTTAGGGAAGTGATCTGAATCACAGCCTTTCTTCTTAAGCAAATTCTCAGGTGTTGATCTCCGCTCAAGTCACGATCTGGAGGACGTGAGATCGAGCCCCGTGTCAGGCTTCATGCTTGGTGCAGAGTCTCCTAGTCCCTCTCCTTCTGCTCCTTGCCTCACTCACGTTTTCTCTCTAAAATAAGTAAATAAAATCTTATAAAATAATAAAAATAAAGAAACTGTATGTACTGACTGCTGTCTTACTACCTTATACATCAGGTAGATGCAGCGATCAGCTACATACAAAATCCCTGGCAGGAGCCATGAGGGTTCAGATAGCTCTATTTTTCCATAAAAATATTGAAAGCTCAGAGACTGCTGGGCAAAATAGGGAGGTAAGATAGACACCTTCTTTACAACCTCCAGGTACCATAATATAGACCGAGGACATTTTAATCATATAATCAAGTTGTCTAACATGGCTTCCATCACCAGATCTTGCACCAATTTTTCAAAAAAGCTACAACTACTATATAGGAAGAATCATCATTATTATTATAATCTTCCATATTTTATACAATCCACATTTTACATCATAGTATCCTAAACTAAAGTGAACTAATCTGTTCTCCAGCATTTACAAAGTCAAAAGAAATTCCAGGAAAGAATCTGAGATGTTGGCTTTAATTTTTTTTTAAGATTTTATTTATTTATTTATTTGAGAGAAAAAGAGAGACAGAGAGAACACAAGCGGAGTGAGGGGCAGAGGGAGAAGCAGGCTTTCCTCTGAGCAGGGAGCCTGGTGCAGGACTTAATCCAGGGACCCCGGGATCATGAGCCCAGCCAAAGGCAGACGCCCAACCGACTGAGCCACCAGATGCCCCTGGGATGCCGGCTTTCTACTGAAAATATGCATAGATAATCCTTCAGAAGGACAGACAAACCGTGCTATCTGAATCCTGCCTTAGGAATGGGTATGAAATCAGATGGTAAAATGAAGGAATATTTAACGAAATATGTACTGTGTACAATCAGAGTAGCAACAGCCACAAGAAAGAACCTCATCAGTTGATTGCCACGCTCTTAAAAAATTAATTTAAATCTGCAAAGAGTGATCTGACTATGGTAAATACATTTTGTACTTACATTTTACAATGGCTGCTTATGATAGTCTAAGTTATTAATTTTTTAATTAAGTACAATGGAAATAAATTCATCTTAAACACTGGGATTTTCCCTTCTGATGCTTATCAACTTCCCAGTGCCACCACATTGACAGGACCAGAGGCCTGAATCATAAAGATATTCTGTATATGCAAATCAGAAACACAATACACAGGCCCCTTGGGATCCTTTAAACTAATTAAGGATGGTACTTATTTGGTTTTTACAGTCTTTGGGCAACCACTGGAAAGTTTAGATGTTAAGCTGGTATTAGAGGAACCACCAGACCAAAAATAGTAAATTTGATCATTTAATTATTAATTGAAAACCGGCTTCAGTGAGAGGCTATTTTCACCGGAGGACTGAAAGTCATCATGACTGATGCTTCCTAACTACCTGGAGGAGAAAATATCTGGCCAGAAATGGTTCTTCAGAGTAAAAGGCCACAAAGGTGGTCCTCACTGGCGTGATCTCTCCACCCCCCAAACTCACCAAAATCCTCCACTGTGTCCTTACGGGGCCCCATCAGTCTATCTGATGCTGATCAAGGGTTCCTGCACTTGACTTTTGAGGACATGAAAAATTCAAGCTATACTTAAACTGTGATCTTAGAAATACTGAATAAAGGGAGGCAAATGCTCCATTCCATGGCAATGATCTTCAGAATTTACATTTACTTGGGACACAGTCAATTTAAAATTTTACTTTCTGGATGGATCATTCACCAAAAAAGTTAATATATCCCTTTCCAAGGTAGTAAAACGTTTGCATTTTCAGTGCATGTGTTACTCAATCTGCTGAACTATTATTTGTGCAAAAGTGAAAGCAACTTCATCCATGACAGTCAAGGAGCAAGAATGAATGAACGAACACCACCACCCAAGAAAGGAGGCCTTCAGCTCCCTTCCCACAGGTACGATTGGAATCTATTTTCAACAGAAGGCTTTGCCCCGGCTTCTCCCAGGCCAGGTCCTGGGATGGAGCTGTTTCCCCATCACTACCCCGTGGCAGCTTCCCATCTCATCGGGGCCAGACAGTGGCTTGCTGGGTGTTCCCCAGTGCCCGTGACATTGGCTCATTCATTTGATGTTGGTTTTTTTTTTTTTTAAAGACTTTGATTATATATTTGAGAGAGAGAGAGAGAGAGAGATTGAGAAGAAAGAGCAGGAGCTGGGAGGAGAGGGAGAAGCAGGCTCCCCACCGAGCAGGGAGCCAGATATGGGGCTCGATCCCAGGACCCCGAGATCACTGAGCCACCCAGGAGCCCCATGTTTGTCATTTTAGTTACCCACAATAAGCACACTTGCTAGTCACCTGTCCGTGGGGTGCTCTGAAACTAAAAAGGGATGACAATAATCTGGAGCCTCCAGTAATTCCCTTCTGATTCGGATCTCATTTATGACCACTTGCCGACCATCAGCAGGGAAGGGAAACATCAGAACCAACAGAAAAGAAGAATGCTACAGACACAGGAAGCTAGAAATGATACGGCACTGAACCTGCTTCTTCATTTCCATCCAACTGCGATATAATTACTCTTCAAGCCGCAAGAATGAATATTAAGTAAGAATGGTCGTTATTCTCTCTGAGAAAGACTTGTGATGGGCTAACAGCAAGACAGCATCAGACTCACCATCTCTGCGATTAAGACTTGCGAACCCCGGGCCGTGGCTGCTGGACAGTTCCGACGAGCTGCTGAAGGACTCTCGTGGCAACGTGGACGCCAGCGGGACATCACAGTGATCTGTGCGGAAAACCCCAAATTCAGATTAACCCCCTGCTCCAGGCATTCCCGACTTCTGCCCTCCCTGCCTTCCTGCTTCCTTCTCCTCTCCCTCCTCTCCTCCCTCCATCCTTGCTTTTAGTTAACAGGCCAAGAAAATGCTAGAACCTATAGCAAACGTCGGTCTTGATCAGAGGTGTGTTAGTCGGTGGCAAAGAAAGTAAAACGCCTGATTGGTAGCATTTGCCGTCTTCCGTGGAGTACATACTCCCATCGTGGGCGATTCCCAGCTGTCAGCGTGATGTCACCATCACAAGGGTAAGAGGGTCACACATGTCACTTCATTATATAGTGTTTTTCACCGTGCAGAGTAAGAGATTAAAATAACCTTAAGAGCATAGGCAAGAGTGAGATGCCATGAAAGAGAGTAGTACGTGGTGAGGTTGGAGAGTTTACCTTGGTTTTTAACATGATTAACTTAACTATAACTGTATACAACTTAATCTTTCATAATGACTGTGTTTTAACAACTGGCTTACAAAATTCATGAAAAGTGAACGAATGGCTCTTGCTGGCTGCTAAAAGTGGTTCCAGCCCACTGCCCCTCAGTGGAGAACTATTAAAAGAATTTCCTTTAAAATCAGGAAGAAGACTTTAACAAGCTTCACAGCTTCTGCTGAAAGCCGCTCTCAAAGTCCTATCAGTACATAAAAGAATGTTTAAGAATTAAAAGCACAAATGGCAAGATTTCATTTCTTTTGATGGCTGCATAGTATTCCATTGTGTATATATACCACATCTTCTTTATCCATTCATCTGTTGATGGACATCTAGGTTCTTTCCATAGTTTGGCTATTGTAGACATTGCTGCTATAAACATTCGGGTGCACGTGCCCCTTCGGATCACTACGTTTGTATCTTTAGGGTAAATACCCAGCAGTGCAATTGCTGGGTCATAGAGGGTATCATGCTTAGCGAAATAAGTCAATCGGAGAAAGACAACTATCATATGATCTCCCTGACATGAGGGAGAGGAGATGCAACATGGTGGGTTAAGGGGGTAGGAGAAGAGTAAATGAAACAAGATGGGATTGGGAGGGAGACAAACCATAAGAGACTCTTAATCTCACAAAACAAACTGAGGGTTAATGGGGGGAGGGGGTTTGGGGGGGGTGGGATTATGGACATTGGGGAGGGTATGTGCTATGGTGAGTGCTGTGAAGTGTGTAAACCTGGTGATTCACAGACCTGTACCCCTGGGGATAAAAATATATTATATGTTTATAAAAAATAAAATTAAAAAAATAAATAAAAAAATAAAATGAAAAGCACAGAATTGGGCAAGGAAAAAAAGCAACTGCCATCACTTCCAGATGATACGACTCCAGAGGCAGAAAGTCCAAAATTCAGTAAGTGACTAGTTTAATAGCTCAACATCCCAAAACCGATTTCATCTTAAACTCTAGCTGGAGTCCAACGACAACTAGAATAGCAAATAACAACAAAACACATAAAGTATCTAAGAATGAATCTTACAAAACTGTGCAAAACATTTATGGGGATAATTATAAAAACTGTACTGAATCACATTAAAGAAAAACTGAGTAAAATATAGACTTCCGCGATCACAGACCGGAAGATGGCATTTATTTTAATTATATTTTTTATTTATGTGATAGAGAGAAAGAGATCACAGGTAGGCAGAGAGGCGGGCAGAGAGAGAGGGGGAAGCAGGCTCCCCACTGAGCAGAGAGCCCGATGCGGGGCTCGATCCCAGGACCCTGAGATCATGACCTGAGCCGAAAGCAGAGGCTTTAACCCACTGAGCCACCCAGGTGCCCGGAAGACGGCATTTTTAAATGCTCAGTCATCTGCAGTTTGAGCTAAAGACTCATTAGAAGTCCAATCGAAAGCCCAAGAGGGTTTTTCATAGAAACTGAGTCGGGGAACCATGACTCAGCAGTTCATAACATGGGGTACAGATATGATTTAAGGAGCCTGCAAAGACAGAGAAAAACTACATCTTTATTTTCATTAAACCTCCAGCTAAAATTCAGCATTTTCTTTAATCATGAGCATAGACAAACCACAGCGTCTTCAGTGGTGCCCGTGCTTTTTTGTTTGTTTGTTACCATAAGCTACAGACTTATATAGCAATCCTTGTCACAATATCTAGAAATATCATTTACGTTCCTCCTTACTTCCAAATGATCATATTTGACCCAGCACTAGATTTTGTTAGTTAATGAGCTAATAACAAAGGAGACATTATATTACAATTTCTGATTGATGGATATCAGCCCTTCACTGTAACTGGCATATATATAGATATGGCATTTGCAACCATTGCTATGAGAAGGGACTCAGACTTCAGCAAAGTTCCAAAGGGGTCTGTGGCACAGGAAGGCCCAGGAAGCCCCCGTGATGGGTGTGTGCACAGGCAGCACAAAGTGTTGGCCTATTACTGGGGTATGGTTAGTACTTCAGAAAATTCCAGAAGAGGGGTGTTACCTACAGGTCATGGTCAATGCAGCTAACTCGAGTGTTAGCCTAGAAGTCTCTCAGGGTCTAGCATGTTGAACAGAACAGGCCTGCATTAGTCTCCCTGTACACATGGGGTCCTGGGACCTCACCACCACTTGAAATCACACAGCAGATTGACGGCAAGAGAAGGCTATTCCCATTTATTGTGTGTCTAGGGAAGCCTGCTCTCTTCCCGGCCCTGGCCCCACACGGTTTCCTTTAGGGGTCTGTCCTGATGCTAGTCCCCTCTGCTCACACTGTTGTCATCTCACCACTGAAGCTAGCATAGATTTTGCAACTGGACTTGGGTGGGACTGGCATTTACCAGCCTTGCCGACTCTTGGGTGTCACTCACCCTTCTCTAAGCCTCGGTTCTCTCCTCAATTCGATGGGGAATAACACAACTGGACAGTGATGATATCACACAATTATGCAATGGGGAGCCAACCCCCACAACTGTACAGTGGGCCGTTACACAACGATACAAGGGAACTCACCCAGCAACATGGCAGGGAGTACAATGGGGACTCACTCACTGAGAGGACTGCTGAAGGCTGAAAGTATTTGCTTTTATTCTTCTCATTCTGGTAAGACAAGTCAACACTTATTAAGTTCCTTCAAAAGATGCTATAAGGACATGTTCCCCATATAGAGATGTAAAAGGCAGTGTTCAACGTTCCACACCATATTGTCATTTTTAATTCTTTCTTCAAAGAAGGCATACGAACCTTAGTCTTTAAAAAGAAAAAAAAAAGAAGAAGAAGAAGTAATAGCTTTTGTGCTGTAATCTTTCTTTGGAAGAACAATTTATAAAATTTATTTTTAAATGACAATGTTTTTTATAACCCTAACTTAGAGGCTTCAAAACCAGTGTTCCAATTTACTCCAACATAGTAGAAGTCGAGGACTTGTGTGGTCAAAAACAAGGTGGCCACATCCTTATAAGGTACCTGGAGAGGAGACGTTCAGGGTTTGGACAGTGTTTTCCAGGCATTCAGTGTGTTTCTAACTGAATTTAATCCATGTAAGGAGAAGCCTCCAGGGCCATCCCAAACCTCCATTAACTACTGTTTTCAACCTGAAATGTTTAGGTTTTCTACTATGATTCCCGAAGCAAAAACTGTCAAGACCCAATTTAATTTTCTTCTTTCTTCACATCATTATAAAACATGTGAATCCCACTAAATGAGTACCATTCTCATGAATAATCTGATAAACATTATTTCTATCCAAAAAAAAGATGATTCCTGAAATGTTTCAAAGGTACAAGAATTATTCACAAAGTATGGATTTTGACAAGTGAGATGGCAAACAACTTTAAACAACTACTATTTATCACTTAGAGGGAAAACAAGTTGAGTACAAATAATAAGCTTATGAGAATTAACATATGAAAATAGAAAATATTGCAGTTAAGTAAGCTAAAGCAATTTTATTTCCCTTCATAATAACCACTCGTATTAATGAGAGTGAGTCCATGGAATAATCTTAATTTTGAGATACACTCATCCTTCAGCGGTTCAAATGTGCTCCAAGTGAGGTTCTCAGAGGGGCTTAAGAACGCTAAAGGAAGAGTGATGGTCCATTGTCATGGGTTTTAGAGAAAAAACAAACACACCACATTTGTTCATGATTTATGTATGACTCAGTATCAGAGTGCCAGAGACATCCTTATGTGCATTCTGATATAATAAATCCATATTTATGAAATACTCAAACCTTGTCTCACTAGGTGCACCTATTACAATGCCATTTTAATCGAAAGCCTATTGTACGTCTTACCAGCAGAACAGCCTTAGACTGAGATTATAAAACAATATTCCAGCTTCTGTGTTTTAAAATTATATGTATTTTTTTCCAGGTGAAATCTTAGAAATTTGGAACTTCCCACAACTGGAGAAAATAGAGCTGGCTTAGTCTTCCCACTTTAAGTGAGCTGATCTAGGTGAGCTGATCTGGGGGTTTTCTAGGCTCTTGATCTCCTTCTAAAACTACTTAAATCTACCCTTCCCCACAGACAGAAAAGAAGCCCAGACAGACTCCGTCGGTTAGCCACAGCCTGTCCGTAATACATTTGTTCTGATTTCTTCGACACTTCAAATTCAGTTTGTACTTAATTATGTGTAAGCGGTATCTTTTCAGGATGCCTTATCTTCTGGATGAGATTAAAAATTCCTCAGCACAGAAAATTCATGTTTGTTTGTTTGTTGCTTGTTTTTCGTCCTTCAGCATATCACAATAGACTCCAGTCCCTGGAATGGAACAGAAAGCGTGACCTAAATTCCCCTTGACTTCCAGCCCTACTTGCTCCTCCCACGTGGGCAGCTGGAATCAAGGCCCGGACCCACACAGAGGTGCCCCTCGGCTACTGGACCAGCAAGGACATCTGGACTCAGAAGAGCCTGAAGATACCTGGAAATCTCTCTCCATCAGGAGGAATGAGGCCTGGAGCTGTTGTTCCAATGTTCCCCGATCCCTGGTGGCCTATCAAGGCCACTGAGAACTTTGTGAACATCTGGGGCCCCCACGCCTTCCTTCCTGAGGTGTGTGCTTACAGAGTCCCAATCCGTACAGGTTCCGAACCATGCTGTCAGCACTTTGGACAGGAGTGCTGAACTTGGTCAGGGTTCAGGGGCACTGGCCAGTCTCCAACCCTCAGGTGCACACACCTGTGCACGTGTGTGTGATGGTAATATCCCCCTAGAAGCGACAGGACATTCTGTAAGCATGGCATACAGGGTGCTCTCGGGACCCGTGCCTAATTCTCCAAGCCCATCTCAGCCACCCCCACCCTCACTTGCCCCTGAAAATGTGTGCTGCTGTGTGCTCAGACCGGCCATTACCCCTTGTGGGACTATACTTGGCACCAACTGTGCATCCCATGAGTTTGAACAACTGCATGAGTTTAAGTCTGAGTTACTTAGTTTCATGATCCTCAAAGCCCAGCCTGTTAGGAGCCCAGCTGAAGGAAAGCAGAGGTAATTGCCATTACATCTGCCAGAGGTAAAGCAGATCTCTTGTCTGTTCCAATAAGTTGTGCATACCAGTAATAGAATACAGTCATATCTCTGTGAGAACCAAGTCAGAAAGGACAAATTACACCAAGTTCCTGGCTAATTTATTTATCACACCCATGCAGAGAGTGCTAATCTACCCATTAGCACAGTCCAAAGTTAAGCACACTTGTTTTTACTTCTAGGCTTGCTCTCCTGTCATAACCTATGTTGTGAATGATTTCAAAGGTTGGGTTTATGTTCACTGCATTAAATGAGAGCTATTTAATTAATAGCTCTAGATCCAGATGTTGCCTTTAAATTATTCCTCGGCGTAGAAGGATTCACTTTTTTTTGTAAGTCAAATGGTAACACTGCAAAAACAATTTACCATTAATTTTAGTGGGGTGATATAGCAAATTAATACTCATTAGTTGCAACTATTATTAAGTATGAATTTGAAATAATTATTGTTCTTATAATTAAATAATACCTCAGGTTCCCTCCCACTGAGCGAACTCATACTGGTAGTGTTTCCTTTTTTAGATCAAAGCATTTGTAAAATGTCTTATATTTTTTTGAGAAAATTCTAAATTACAAAATTATATATTCCAAATGCTTTATCCAAATGGTAGAGAAGATGTAACTGGGCAAATATTTGTTAATAAAAAGAGCTTCCTGACTAATGATCTGGCTTTGGTCTTCCAGAAAATCTGCAACTCAAAAGCACAAAATGACTTTTGAAAATGTCTTCTTGTTAGAATACCAAACAATAAAATTGAAAACAGGAAATCAATGGACAAAATCAATCAAATCAAAATCATTTACTGACCTTTGAAAAGGTCAGTAAAAGATTCTTGCCAGGCTAGCTTAAAAAGAGAAAAAGAGAGTTCACAAATTCCTAATAAGAGAAATCAAAGAAAGAACATCACCACAGATCCCACAGACATTAAATGGGTAATAAAGAAATAATATGGACAACTCTACACCTACAAATTTGATAATCTAATTATCAAATATGGACTAATCCCTAAAAGAAACAATCTGCCAATTTCACACAAGAAAGAACACAATCTGTATAGGCCTATATCTATTAAAGAATCTGAATCTATAATTAATAACTTTCTAAAACAGAAAGCACCATGTCCAGATGGCTTCAGTGACAAATTCTACCAAATATTTAAGGAACAAATGTTACCAATTCTCTACAAATACTTTCAGAAGCTAGAAGCAGAGGGAATACTTTCTAATTCATTTTATGACACCTGAATTACCCTAATACTAAAAGCAGTCATAGATATTACAAGAAACCCATATACTAATATCTCTCATACACATAGAAGCAAAGTCCTCAACAAAGTATTAGCAAATTGAATCCAACAATGTATAAAGAGAGCAGGTGTAATTCATCCCAGGTATACACGGCCAATTCAACATTAAAAAGCCAATTAATGTAATCGCCCACATCAACAAGCTAAAGAAGAAAACCACGCAATCATATAAAGAGATGCAGAAGAAAGTATTTGACAAAATGCAACACCTGTTTGTTGTAAACACTCTTATACAGAGGGGAACTTTCTCATCTTGAAAAAAGAATATCTACCAAAAACCTAAATTAAATCATACCTAAAGGTAAGAAACTTGAAGCTTTCCCACTGAGATCGGGAGCAAGACAAGGTTGTTCCCTCTCCCCTTTCCTTTTCAATATCCAGCTAGATGTCTTATTTAATGCAATTAGACAGGAAGAGGAAATAAAAGGGATACAGATTGGGAAGAAAAAATCTTTGTTCACAAGTGACATGATCATCTATGTAGAAAATCCAAAAGAAATGACCAAAAACCTAGAACTAACAAGCGATTATAGCAGCACACAAGATATAAGGTTAATATAAAAAGTCGACCCTTTCTTATATACCAGCAAAGAACAGGTTGAATTTGAAATTAAAAACACAACACCATGGGGCGCCTGGGAGGCTCAGTGGGTTAAAGCCTCTGCCTTTGGCTCAGGTCATGATCTCAGGGTCCTGGGATCAAGCCCCACATCAGGCTCTCTGCTCAGCAGGGAGCCTGCTTCTCCCTCTCTCTCTCTGCCTGCCTCTCTGCCTACTTGTGATCTCTGTCTGTCAAATAAATAAATAAAATCTTAAAAACAACAACAACAACACAACACCATTTACATGAGCATCCAAAAGTATGAACTACTTGGGCATACATCTAACAAAACGTGGACACAGTCTGTATGAGAGAGCTACAAAACACTGATGCATAAAGTCAGAGAACTGCATAAATGGAGAGATGGTCCACGTTCAAAGACAGGAACATTCAATGCTGTCAAGAGGTCAGTTCTTCCAATTTGGTCTATAATTGAAGGCAAATCCATAAAAATCCCAGCAAGTTATTTTGTGGATATCAACAAACCGATTCTAAAGTTTATGTAGAGAGAAAAACTACCCAGAGCAGCCAACATAATATTAAAGTTGGAGGACTGACACCAGCTAGCTCAAGACCTACTACAGAGCTGTGGCCATGAAGACAACGCGGTATTGGCAAAAGAATGGACAAATGGGCCAATGGAACAGAATAAAGCCCAGAAGCGGGCCCACACAGTAGAGCTGACCCATGTTTGACAAAGGAGCGAAGGCATCCAATGGAGCAAAGACAGGCTGTTCGACAAATGGCATGAGGACAACTGGGCATCCATATGCGACATCAAGAGTTTAGACACAGACTCTCACCTTTCACAAAAATTGACTCAGATAAATCACAGATCTAACTGTAAAGTACAAAACAATAAAATTCCCAAAAGATGACACAGGAGAAAATCCAGATGACCTGTGTTTGCAAATGACTTTCTAGACGCAACACCAAAGGCATGATCTATGAAAGAAAGGGTTGACCTGCTGGTGTTGATGAAAGAATTTTCTGCTCTGCCAAAGGCACTGTCAAGAAAATGAAAAGACAAGTCACAGACCGGGAGAAAATATTTGCAAAACATGCATCTGCAAAGAACTGCTCTCCAGAATATAAAAAGAACTCTTAAACTCAATAATTAAAAAGAAAACAAAAACTCATTTAAATATGGGTCCAAAGACTTCCTGGCACCTCAACAGAGAAGATGTGCAGATGTCAAATAAGCAGATGACGAGAGACCCGACATCACCTGTATCAGGGAAGTGGAAATTAAAACAATGGGATACCACCACACACCCATCAGCATGGCCGACACCGGGAGCTGGGCTGACATAAAATGCCGGCATGGACGGAGGGCAGCAGGAGCCCTCATCCATTGCTGGTGGGAGTGCAAAACGGTACGGTCTTTCTGGAAGACAATTTGGCAGGTTCCTAGAAAACTAAGTGTACTCCCTCCGTGCATTCCAACCACTGTACTCCTTGGTATTTACCCAAAGGAGTTGAAAGCTTACGTCCACACAGTAACACACACACGCTGTTTCTAGCAGCTTTACTCACTGATGGCCAAAGCCTGAAGTCAAACAAAGTGTCCTTTAGTCAGCGAATGGCTCAAGAAACAGTGGCACAACCAGACAAGGGGATCTTTTCAGCACTAAAGAGAAGTGAGCTATCAGGCCATGAAAAGACATGAAGGAACCTTAAGTGCATATCAGTAAGTGAAAGAAGCCAATTTGAAGAGGCTACACACTTGGAAAAAGTGAAATTATAGAGACAGTAAAAAGATCAGTACCTGTCAGTTTTAAGAGGTAGACAGGAATGAATGGGGGGGGGTGCAGCGCCAGGACTCTTAGGGCAGCGAAGCTACTGTGTAGGGCACTGTCGTGGTGGATATAGGTCTTTATACATTTGGCAAGTCCCACAGAATGTACAACACCCAGAGTGAGCCCTCACATAAATCATGAGCGCTGAGTGATAACGGGTTCATCAGTCTGAACGAAGGAGGCCTCTGGGGTGACTGCTGGTAATAGGGGAGGCCGTGCATGTGTGGGGAGAGGGGGAATATGGGAAATCCCTATATGTTGCATAATTTTGCTGAGAACCTAAAATTGCTCTAAAAATAATGCCTCCTAAAAAGCAAAGTCTTTCTTTTTATCAACAACTGAGAATTTACTTAAGAATAAAGGCTGTGGGGGCACCTGGGTGGCTCAGTGGGTTAAAGCCTCTGCCTTCGGCTCAGGTCATGATCCCAGGGTCCTGGGATCGAGCCCCACATCGGGCTCTCTGCTCGGCAGGGAGCCTGCTTCCTCTTCTCTCTCTGCCTGCCTCTCTGCCTACTTGTGATCTCTCTCTGTCAAATAAATAAATAAAATCTTAAAAAAAAAAAAGAATAAAGGCTGTGATTCAAATAACTTCCCTGCGACAAGACATGAACAGTTCATCTTTACACTGATTTTATCCCAGCTCTACGTCAAGAAGACTCTGAAATTTTGTTCTAGCGCTTGGCCAAAAAATTCAAATCTATTCCTTCCTGGTTTTAAAATCATGCAAAACTGTGTGACTTCCCAACCTCAGAGGAACCGCGGCCCTGGGGGAGAACTGTTCCAGGTTTCTCACGGGTTGCCCTCCTTCCCCACAGGAAAGAGCCAAGAATTTGCACCTGTTTGAAAGGCAGAATTTTAATGA